AGCCCGGGATGACTGGTCGGGCTCCCGGTCGCCCAGGTCCTGGTTGCGAGCTCTCTGAGATGCTCGGTTCGTTCGGTCGGCAGGAAGAGCCCCCCAGTTGCGACTTCGTTTATGTTAGGAGACCAACGGGCATAGATCCCGTCTAGTTGGAGCGCCAAACAAGCGCTGTTGCGTGCCGGCCGTCGTTTCCCGTGCGGCCTGACCCGGGGGCGGAGTGCATGAGACTAACCAGCCGTATGCACCCGCCCCCCGCGCTGTGCTTCGGTCCTGGGCCCCCGGCTTTTCAGCCCACAGTGTAATCAACGTCATACATACATACATACATACATACATACATACATACATACATACATACATACATACATACATACATACATACATACATACATACATACATACATACATACATACATACATACATACATACATACATACATACATACATACATACATACATACATACATACATGCATACATGCATACATGCATACATACATACATACATACATACATACATACATACATACATACATACATACATACATACATACATACATACATACATACATACATACATACATACATACATACATACATACATACATACATACATACATACATACATACATACATACATACATGCCGCACACGTACGCAACTGCCCGCCCCACCTCCTCGTTAATGCTCTCCCACTCGCCAGAGGACCCGCTACTCCCACCACCACCGCCGCCGCCGCCGCCAGCCGCCCCAATACCAAGTCCCCTCAGCCGCCGCCGCGCGTCATGAATCAGCTCCAGGGCGGGTGCTCGTATACCGCTGCTAAGGCCAAAGACAGTGCCGCCGCCGCCGCCGCCGCTAGCACCGCCGCTGCGGCGGCCGCTGCGACTGTGGCCCTCCGCGGGTTGCGGCGGCTCGTCCTCCGTACTACTGCCACTGCTATTGCCACTGCTACTGCTACGTTGGCGATGGCGACGGCGGGTGGTGCCGCCCGGCGCGGCAACTGCTGCTGCTGCCGCTGCGGCGGCGTCAGGTCCGCGGGCAGCCCGCACACGTGGAGCCGCCTCGATGTCTCCGTCGTCATCTTCATCTTCGCTGCCGCCGCCAGAGCCGCCGTCGCTGTCACCTGTCCCAGAGCGCGTGCGGGTGCCCTCGCTATCGCTGGTGTCATCGCTGTCGCTGTCATCATCGCTGTCACCATCCCCCTCCTCCTCCTCGTCACCGCTCTCCGTGTCATCGGCGCCCCTCATGAATTGGCCCTGTACCGTACACAGCCGCAGGACACGTCACGGTGTCGTACAAGCCCACAAGTTACGTGGCTAAGCCGTGCGTGTTTCAGCAGTAGAAGCTCGATCCCCCGGCCCGCGCCTGGCAAAACGCATGACCCAACCCCCGGCCCAAAGCAGTGAACGCCAGGAAAAAACCCAAAACAAAGTTCCCGCGTTATAACCCCCACCCGTACGTACGGCACTCACGTGCAGGGGAGTGTACTGCGCCACCAAACACGCCACGCGCCCCAGCTCCAGCCCCAGCTCAAGTTTGACGCGCAAGGGTGACCAGCCTTCCATCCAAATATCCGACTCCCAAAAAGCGTCGTCGCACATGCGGAGCGTATGCCGTACAGACTCCAGCGCTTCCGCCGCCAGGGGAGCTGGGAAGAGGGTCTGGAATCCGGGTTGGGTTCCGAAAGGGGGTGGTATGGGAGGGGGAGGGGAAGAGGGAGGGGGAGGGGACACTCAGCACGAAGGTGGTGTCGAGGGAATCGTAAGATGGTCATCATGATGAAAGAAGCTTCTTAAAGAAGTGCCTGCCAAAGCACCAGCTCGCCGAGCGGAGGGGAGGAGAGGGAAAGGAGGAGCTGGGGTGCTGCGCAGCACGAGAAACGTGTATCCGGTTGCGCACGATACCCTCGACAAGATATAAGAAAAACATAGCATTCGCCGTGCAAATTGGCTGTACGACATGCCGTACGGAGACCTCAATGAAGGAGCTAACGTGGCACCCTGGGGCATCATTCCCAATGCCCCAACATGCGGCCCCCTCGTGACATACATACATACATACATACATACATACATACATACATACAGCGGCATGCACAACGGAACGCTGCCGCCGTACACACACAGGCACACAGACCCGCACCTGTACGGCAAGCATGACGTCGCCTTCGCCCATGGGCGCCGACTCCTGCGAGGGGAGGTTCGGATTTGTCGGTTGGTTGCGCACGAGTATGTCTGTATGTACTTCTGAATGTACGTCTGCGTGTAAGTCTGAGTGTACTCCTGAATGTACGTCTGTGTGTACTTCTGACTGTACGCCTATGTGTACCTCTGAATGTACATCTGTGTTTGCTATTCAATACACTTGGCCGCGGGTTGCAACTGCTGGAGTTGTCGCCATGCGCGGCATCACTACCGAAGCACGTGCTGTGTATAAGCATGTATGTCTGGGTCGCCCCCTCCCTCCGGCCCCCTCAGTTTGCCAGGCAGTACGACCCCACATACACAGCCCACCCCGCGGGTAACCCCTTATTCCCCCGACATCCCGCCACCCCCACATCCTTACCTGCACCAGCTCGCAGCCGAGCACCTCCACCACCGCGCTCAAAAGCCTCCTGCCCAGAGCCGTTGTGAGGTCGTTGAGGGCCGCCAGAGACCGCCAGTGCAGTCGCACGGAGGGCCACTGCCGCCGGCATAGCCGCAACAAACCCAGCGCCCAGAAGGCCCGATAGCCGTGGTGGAGAGCTGTGTCATTTCCTGAGAAACGGTTGGGGGGCAAAACAGCAAAACACCCACGGTGGGGATGGGGTCCTTAGGAGACGGGGAGGGGGGAGAATGGGGGGAAGGATGCACCGGTTTACATAGAGTACACAGAGTCGGGAAGCCGAGGGGGAGGTTCAACTGCCGACACAGGTTTTAAAACCACCCGTGTGGCCGTACGGGTAGAAGGACGCAAGAAGGAGCGCCCGGGGAGAAGCGGGGGAGATGGGGGGAGGGGGAGTGGTTGCGAAAACGGCTGTGGAAGAATGGCGGGTGGAATCGTTGCATTGGCGTAGGGCAAATTAGGCAACCGATTGTGAAAAGTTTGTGTGTGTACGTATGTCTATCTGTCTGTCTATCTGTTTGTCTGTGTTTAACGATCTGTACGTCTGTCCGTCCGTCAGCCTGTTAGCTGGCCTGTCTGTCTGTCCATAAGTCTGTCAGTCGGCATTCTTACTCGGCAAGTCCACCAGCGAATTGTCCTCTCCCTGAAATAACGCCAAAGCATAATTTTCAAGACTGCCTGCTGGCGGAGGAACAGGAAACTCCCCCAAGGTCGCGGCGGCGGCGGCGGCGTTGGCGGCAGCGGCTGCACCGTCACCGTCAGCGCTGTTGCCGCCGCCGTCACCACCGCCGCCACCGCGCTCGTACAACCGCGCCGCAAGATCAATGACGGCGCGGTACACGTCAGCCGCCGGCAGTGCCTTGGGAACAAGGAAACAAACACCCAGACGCCACAGGCCAGTAGCCGCCGCCATTCATCAACGCCGCCGCCGCCGCCGCCATTCGTCAACGCCGCCACAGGGTCATTGGGAAGACACGGTGGTCCATCATGTGTGAAGGCGTGGGACAACATGGAGGTACGGGAGTACAGAGGTACGGGATTATGGAGGTACGAGATTACGGAGGTACGGGGATACGGAGGTACGGGATTATGGACGAATGCATGCAACAGTTCAAAATCATAAACCGCGTCGGTTGGTCACAACGCCGGTGGAGGAGGATGGATGGCGAAGGGAGAAAGAGAGAGAAAGAGCAAGGAGGGGAGAGAAGACCTTGTGGATGAAATGATGGACTTGGTAAACGATAAACGAAAAGGAGGAACAGATGCAGCACATGGAGGAGGAGGGGAAGGACGAGGACGAGGAGGGGGACGGGAGCCCGAGGGAAGGGAAGGTGGGGGAGGGAAGGAGAGTGGGACCACGAGTCGAAGAGCCATAAAGGCGAAGTGGAGGAGCGGGCTGGGAAGTTAGGGGTGGAGGGGGGGGCCGTTAGGGAAGTGACTCAGAAAGGAAATGGGAATGTGAGGCGAGGTCGGAAAAGGGATGGCGCTACTTGCCGCGGGTGCCGTACAAAGTTATTGTTATAAAAAACCCTGATTAGCCACTTGTGCCATGTTCCCATGTTTGTATGTATGTAACGCTTGTGCGCCTCTAGCTCTCTCGCTCTGTTCATGTGTCTCTGTGCAGTGAAACGAAAACAACCCTTACCATCAAACCCTCCTGCTGATGATCTTCCTCGTCCTCGTCCTTCTGCTCTTGCTCCGGAACATCAGCATTCGCATTCTCCTGCTCCTGCTCCTGCCTCATCCCAACTTCACGTCCCTCAGCACGCCTGTTGTCACGAAGCTGCCACCAAAACGGCTCCGGCGGCGGCAGCTCTAACTCCGAATTCATAGCCGCGAAGTCGCCGCCACCGCCACCGCCACCGCCACCGCCGCCCCTGTCGTTGCCGCCACCGCCAGTGATGCCGCCGCTCCCGTTACCGCCGCCGCCGCCGCCGCCGCCGCCACTGGACCTAGCGCGACCGCCCTCCTCCATGACTGTATCCCCAGCCGGTGTAACACCCGGGTCCCCCCCGCCCTCCCCCACCTCCGTCTGGGCTCCTATGGGACAACCCTCACCCTCACACTGCGGCAGCAGCTCCTGCAGCGACGGAAACAGCTCCTGCTGCTGCTGCTGCTGCTGCCCCTCCGCCGCGTCCTCCAGCTCTCCTCCCGCATCCCTGCTTGATACAAGCTGTAACCAGCCGAGGGCGTGTTCTGGAAGATACGTCGTTTCCTCCTGCTGGTGCGGATTCTGATCCTGATCCTGTCGGTTCTGTTGCTCCTCTGGCTGAGGGTTCCGGAGCAATTGCTGCTGCTGCTGGCCACGTGGCAGTTGGTTGGCAGGTGCTGCTACAGCTGCTGCTGCTCCGAAAGTGAAGTGCCTGTTCAAGACCACCTCGGCTGCGTCACAGACCTCGCGAGTGGAATCCACCAGCCAGGGCCAGGGAGGTGAAGGTTCCATAACACCAGGACAGTTGCTGCAGCCGTGGCCAGAACCAGGTTCCGTTGCCGTAGCCGTCGCTGGCGGCGGCGGCGGCAGGCCGTTCGGGTACAGCGACGCCGGCACGAAGAGCCCGTGGCACCAAGTGCCGGCCGCCGTCGATGTACCCTCCCCCGTGCCGTACAGTCCTCCTGGGCCCGACGGCCAGCACGTCTCGAAGCTCTGTGCCGGATGGTAGTGCTCGTGGAGGCCCACGGAGGGAATCTGCGGGTGGGGCAGAGCCCGGTGCCGCACGCCGCTGGCACTGGCGGCGGCGGCGGTGGTGGCAGCGGCACCGCCAGCCCGAGCCGCGGTGTAGGGCAGGTCACTTGCGCTCCGAAACCTGCTGCTGCCATACACAAGATCGCTTGTGCGGCCCAGTGCGGCACGCATTCGGGCCATGTAAGCAGAAGATTCGCCGTACTGGCAGTGCCGTACCACATGATCAGCGAGCTGCTTCAGGGAGGAGGCCACGTGTTCGCAGCCGTAGCAGCGGTTGGGGCAGGGGCAAAGCGCCGGGCAGCCGGCCCAGCAGTGCTCTTCCGCTTGGCCCCTGAGCACGACGGCGTGGCAGTGGCGACACGTCATCGGCTCGTATGGACAGTTTGTGGCATGGTACGGCATGTCGTGAAGCTGCAATTGCACCGGACAGCCAAAGGCCTTGTTGGGGCAGGTCAGGCGGCGGTTGGGGCAGTTGGACGAGCCGATATGGGCGGCGAGCTGGCCCCGGAGCATGGCTGTGCCGCAGTCGGGGCAGCGGACGGGAACCCCAGGGCAGGTGAGGGCCACGTGGTCGGCTAGGTCGACGCGGCGGAGCGTACAAGAGCAACCGTACGGACACAGCACACGTAGCTCGCCAAGGCGGACCTCCAAGGCCTCCAGACGGAAAAGCTGTGAGAGACGCAACCGCGCGCGACAGTAGGGACAGGAGAAGGGCACGTCCTTGCGCTTCTGGGTCGATGCCCAGGTGGTGATGCACTCGGCGCAGAAGCCCTTTTGGCAGCGAGGGCAGCACCGCGGCTCCCGCAACGCATGGTAGCAAACTGCACATAACAAATCAGCCGGAACCTCCTGCTCGTACTGATAGTCATCCATTTATGCGGTGAACTGCAGTGATATGTTGGGACTAGGACTGCTGCTGTCGAATTGTCCTTTGACAGCTTAGTGAAACAGCTTGCAACATAATGATAAAAAGCAAGTTGCGCCGCGGCCCAATGTTCACGCGATGCATACACTCATTATCGATGGCATTACGGTACATACAGTTTTCGTGCAGCGCACATGTGCAGAAGAGCGGAACCCTTGAAAATTTATAGAATGCAGTACTTATCGCAAGTAAGCAACACGAAATATGTCAAGTCTCTGCACGGTGGTTGCTTGGCGGCTGCGCACGTTAGTTGTTGTGCAGACGGTGCGAAAACCTAATGCTGCTAACAACCATCAAGTCTCTGCTCTTAGCATGTATGACCTTTGTTCTATGTCTATTACATTCTTGCTTGTGGACAGAAGAATCTATGCTAATTGAACCTGCTTTGGATTATGCTTCCGATACCCTACTCTGACCGCTATATTCCAGCACCGTGGTCATCACCCTTAAAGAGCTACTAAAATGCACAGCAAAAGTGCCTCAGACTCTGTTACCCTGTCGAAGACGAAAGCAGTTCATTAGCAGGCTGCAGCAAGCTGCAGCGCCGATCGCCTGAACAGGCATTTCGGGTCGAGTTGTCGATGCGGTCGAGCTGTGGATGGAACCAAAGACCCGAACGAAAGTCCAACGCCCTTGATCTCCACACAGCCCCCAAGCCGTCTAGGCTGCGCTGAGCAAGGCCCGGGGGCTTCCAGTCATTTACAGCGTCTTTCCCCCTTACCCCAGCCCCGCCGTCCTAACCTACCGCCCCCTCGTTCCCTAACCTCCCTGCCTCTCCCTCTCCTCTGCCCTGCCCTGACACTGCCCTCTTATCATGTTAGGATAAGTGCAACTCCCATCACAAGAGACGTCACATATCGTGTGTAGTATAGTAGATATCGATATCCGGTCGTGCCGCGTCCCTCTCCTCACTCCGCCAGAATGGAGTGGAACTGCAGTCTATCCGCGGGGCCCCTGGAGGCTCCGGCTTTGAGTGGCGACAGCGGAGGAGCCAGGGTTGGCAGAGGGGCTCGGTCGCGTGGTAGACGGTCCACACGACCAACTGCACTCACACACCGGCGGGAGGAGAGCCGGGAGTTGGAAAACCAACGGCAACGAAGGGATTTTTGAAGGTGTAAGGGGATGGGCTGGGTCTTTGAGGCTCGGGGGGTCAGGTAAGGTGTGCAAAAGCCAAGGAAACATACAGTATATGTACCCATCCACATGGGTGGGTAGATACAGCAGGAGAAGGGTAAAGGGGCAGCAGGGCGAAAGGCAGCCCCATTTTTGGCGTCAAAAGACTGTGTGGCTGCGCCTTAATGCCTTAATGGGGCCCGTCGGAGAGCGCCCCGCAGCGCGTTGATGTGTGTTTGGGATCGACACACAACGGCATAGCATTGGAGAGGTTGCGGAGCATAATGAAAAGCCTTTCCTAGCTGACGACGGCAAAGCGAATTGGAATGTTCCCACAATGTTGCGACATTGGATTGAGGACGACTTGACGACACGCGACGACGTGGAAGGAGTCGTTTTAACGTCGTATGCACAGGCTGTGTACACACACCACCCCGCAGGACTTGCGCGCAGGGATCCCGCCGAATCCCCAGGTCCGCAGCACAAACCCTATATCCCAATCTGCCGTGGGCTATGCCGGGCGAGTCAAACCGCGCCGCAATTTGTGCCAGTTGTGTCCAAGCCTTGTGTCGGGTGTTCCCTCCCATCCCCCAAATGTCAGTAATCTCCGCGAACGCGCTCAGCCCTGTTGCTGGAGCTGTGTGCTTCCAGCGCTAAGGGCAGACGGGCAGTTTCACCACTGTTTTGTTTGTTTCCGCTGTTAGCGCTTTAGACGTGTCGGCAGTTGAACCCCTTTTTGCTTCTTGGTTGCAGTGGTGGTAAAGTCCAATACCTACACTCCGACAACCCACATCCCAGCGCGCACCTGTCTCCGCGAGCTGCTTCTCCGTAGGCTTGCTGTGTGGCAGCGCCAGCGGCGCCTCGTACAACCTGCCGTGGCCCACTGCACCCCAGTCGCTAGCTGACGTCAGAGACAGATTGACATCCGGCGAAGCTGGCGCCGCCGCCGCCGCCGCCACACCTCCGGCCCCTCCCCCTCCTGCTCCTAGCACGGGCCCTAACGACCCAGACGGGCCCAATGCCATCGAGTCTAAAGTAGTACGAGTGCCGGAATGCCGCCGTACACGTGCCCCGGCAAAAGGGTCATACCGGTTATCGCCGTACGCAGCTAGTGGGTCAAGTACGGTAGGCCGGCTGGCGCCGGTGGCACCAACCTTGGCGCCGGCGGCTGCGCCGGCACCGCCGCGGCTGCTGTTGGGGTGCTGTCCATCTCTGGGCAGTGTCCCTGATGCCAGGGGTGTGACTGAGGAGCCCATAGCCTCTGTCTGGGCTTGCATGGCCTTCTTGGCGACCTGCTTGGCGTACGCCTCCCTCGTGATTCCCGCGGGGGCGGGCCGCACCGGGCCGCTTTTAGAGGCGCCGCCGGCCCTGGGATGCGAGGGAGGGGGAGTTCGGGGAGAGTGCGGGCGAGATCATTGTGGGTATGGAAGTGGGTCTTGGTGACGTGGAGCATACAGGGCATGGGACAGGGGGGTGTGCGGAACAGTGTATTTATTGTGACTTGGGCGGTTAGTTTAGGGGATGGGGACCAGGAGGGAGGAAAAGAGTTAGTTGGGAGATGGGGAGATGGGACGAGGGAAGGGCAGGGACAATGGCAAGGGGCGACAAAGAGCGACCGACAGGTACCCAAGTCCCGGATCAATCCTACGGCCTCTACGGAAATGCGCGTATCGCAATCACCAAGGCACTCGGTACCCATATATATTTATTACACTTTCTTGGTGTGAGCCCCTTCCCACGCACACAACCAAACCGGCATCCAGGTGAACATAGGTAGCCCCCTAGTGTGGCCCGCGCAGACCCACCCGCGCAAGGTAACACCGCCGGCGGGCATCAACGTCTCGAGCGCCGATGGTTGAGTCCGTGGCTGGACCTTCTTGTAGTCATTCGCCAGGCGCCGGTCCCTCTCCTTCCGCAGCTCTGTGGGGCTAAGGGTGGTACGAGCGCCGTGACCGATGCCGCCGCCGGCGCCGCCCTCGCCACCGTCGCCCCCGGTGGTGGCTGCGGACCGCGAGGACGTCGTCCGCTGGGCCCCTCGGCGCTTGGGCGACAACGCCCGAGCGGCCTCCTCGTTACCCGCCGCCACCGCCACCTTGTACGCGGGTCCCGAGAGGGCCTCCAGCGGGGACCGATCCGGGTCGAACTCGTTAATGATGACCACCTCGCCCTGGGGGGTCAGACCACCGGGGCCAGCACGAGGGCCAACAACAGCGCCACCATCCAGTTGAAAACGGAGAGCTGTAAGGGTTGTTGTGTGCAAATAAAAAGTGGGAAGAGAGTTCGCTAGCCAACGGATACTACCCCATTAGCGCAACTGTCGCAAGTCACAAAGGAAGAAATGTCACACAGCCTCATCCCACACCTATCCAAGTATAGTGCCGGTCACGTTTAAGACATGGGGGCCATATTGTACTGCACCGTACCTTGTGGTCATATGTGTAGTCCTTGCCCTTGAGCTCCTTTCGCAGGCTGGCCAGCTTCAGTCGCTCCTCCGTGTCCCGTTGCTCTAACCGCCTACTCATTTCCTCCTGTACGACGCGGTTGTACGGTTTTGGAAGAGGCGGTTTCGGGGCGGAGCTTAGGAGAACGGATGGCAGGATAGGCGGACTGCAACGCCGCGAAAGTGAGTGCGACATTGAGGCGTCAGGGAGACTCAAGGACATGGCACGGGGCGAAGTCCCAACAACAATACCAGCCTCAGCCACACACGCTCTTTTTTCTCCATAGAGCTTTACATCCTGCTGCCGCCGCCTCTGCGTATAGTCGCAGTGCTCCCACGTCCATGTCCATCCAGTTCCTCCCTGTTCAAGACCAGCCCTCACCCGGCCCCCATTCCATCCCCTTCCCGACACCCCGGCCTCACCCTCACCTCGCACTGCCCCTTCTCCACCATGCCCTCACCCCCTGCCCTCATCCCCTGCCCACCTTCTCCCTCGGCAGTGCTTCATTCCGCCTTCCACTCGCCGTGCCCCCCCTACCTATGTCATCCACTCGCCGTGCCCCCCCTACCTATGTCATCCACTCGCCGTGCCCCCCCTACCTGTGTCTTCCGCTGCTGCAGCTCCTGCCTGAGCTGCTCCTCCAAGTGCTCTTGTTCCGGAGTCAGCACCTTGCGGGTCTCCAACTTTGTTACATTACGCCGGGAGCCGCTCTGATGCAGGGACCGTGCAGAAGGGCTCACACCCAGGCGGCTAGAGCCACCCGTCAGGCGGCGGCCGCCGCTGCCGGTCGTCCCATTGCCGTTCGTGGTGGTGCCGGGAGCGTAGCCAACGGCTGGGGAGCGCATGGGCCGCTCGGAGCTCGACGACTGGAGGCCGTCTGGCTCACCGGGGAGGCCCAGTGCTGTGGCGGTACTGGCGGTGCTGCGGGCTGACATTGTGCGGTGGATGCTGGGTTGCTTGTTTAGGAACTGCAGGGAATAGGAGCAGGAATGGGGTTTGTGGGATTTGGGCTGTGGGGGAGATGGTTCGGGGTTTGGACTTGGGAAGTGGGTTTGCTGCGGTGTGGTGTTGAGGTAGGCAAGCTTGTTTGGTAGGGTTATTGCTGCTGTTGTTACAGTCTCAGGCTTATGAATTGTAGACTACTTCATCCCCGCTTCTCGGCCCTGCTGATTTGCAGCAACCCCCTGACACTGCAGCAAGCAATGAGAACGAGGCTGTCACACTGCACCCCCGGCGGCTGAGCTAAATGAGACCGGAGCCGGCGCTCTTACGACCCTCTGCTCAATCATCCTTTACGACCGCGCATGCAGATGCACTTGTGAATGTGGGGTCGCAGGTGCTTTCGGTTTAAGAGTCCGAAACCCGGATTCTAGCGTCCACATAGCTGAGAATGCTGATGGAGGTGCTATGGTGGAGAACGTGCCTTCCTGCGAGGCGACTGCGCCGGCCAGGGCCCAGTCCCTTCTCCGCGCCGGCTCGCACAACACACATGTGTCACTTCTCGCCGCCCTTAACATCTCCGGGGCCGTGGTGCTCACCTGCTGCATAACCCAGTTGTCACTACGCGGGCTAGTGCCAGCTGCAGCTGGCGAGGTCTCCGGCAGGGCTGAGCGCAGCCATGAGTCAAAGGTACAAGGGTCCGGCGGCTTTTCTTGCTCCCAGCTACTGTGTTCCAATGAGATGACTGATACTGGATGGTCCTCGCGGGCAGGATATTGCATCTCAATCACGTCCAAGCACGTCGCCAGGCACGAGTCGACGGCATCGACCAGGGTGCGAGCGTGCGCTGTGTGCTCGTGTAGTGCAAGGTTGAACTGAAGTAAAATCTCCTCAAGGCAATCACGCGCCACTCGCTGGGCCAGCAGCGCTCCGGATGGCTGAGTTTTTTGTTGCTGGAGCGCGTCATACTCGGGAGTGTCGAAGTTATTTATAGGAACTGGAGATGGGGACGAAGCAGGCGGCATAATTAATTTTTTTGACAGTGGGGGAACTGGTAACAATTTCCTATAAAACGTTGAAGTACTCAACTAGGACCCTTTAAAAAGCGCTCATCCTTTCATTTCATACAGTGTTATAATCATCCTTGGAAATTAAGTGTGAATCCCGGGAGGCTGTGTTCTTTTCATTCATTGTATACGGCACACTTAGTCGACGAACGAGTTTGTCCAAGACAAATTAGCCTTCTGTAAAGCGGAGTAATAACATACGTACCAACTAAGAGCCATAAAATTGTCCAACATGTTATGTTATGCTATGTTATGTTACAAGCTCGCGAGCGCATGTAAGGCCCAGACGAATCATGGACCGCGTAACAGTAACTAGAGTTATAAACCACAGGCTTACTACTCGGCTATTAGCGTGCGTCGCCTCATCCAGATGTTTTGTACGATCTGCCCAAGTCTGCGCTGATCATCTATCTCCATGACAAACCCCATATTAGGCACGGGCTCGATATCAGCCTGACGTACACCTATGTTAAGAAGCACGCGGGAAACCCGGGACACTCTAGCAACACATGAAACTCACCATTATAATTGCCACAGATCCTACACCAGCACTCTTGGCGCGACGACCGTCGGGTCGTCTAACCTTGATAATCTCATAGCGCACTACACAACCCTTAAAAATTGCCAGTAGAGAGCATTCTGAAGGTATTTGCCGAGCGGCTTGATGCACGGTGGGAGTGTCCGGACACCCTAGGTGACCCCCACGTTTTCCCCATAGGGATTACCGGAGCCAAGGCTTGTCGCTATATGACCTGAATGGGAGCGGCCCCGCCTAGGGGTGCGCATACAGATTGGCTGGAGCACACTAAAGTAGCCATGCCCCAGCGACTGCCTCAAGTGCTCATGCGTCTCCAGTTAGGCTGTTGGGAGTTAAGAGGTTAATCGGCTTAATGGGCGCGAGCGCACCGCGTGTACCTGCAGGCTTTGTGACTGTGGAGCGGTTGAAGACGAATTGCATGTTTTTGCTGAATGCCCCGCTTACAAGAGCACACGGGCGAAGTAGGATGGTGACCTCGTCTTTGAGGGACGCCTTAGCGTCAGTACTGGCAGGGTTCCGTTGCGGCTTCTGCCCTAACCTACAGTGTACAGCATCAGATCCGCTTCGGTAGCCAGGCTTTGCCCCCTGCCACGGAAGCAAGCACAACTTTCCTGCCTGCAGGTACCTCTCCGTCTGGACGACCCCTAAGCGGTAGGGCAACTACTCAAGAAAATGTCGTGACTTTTGGGGGTCCAGCACCCATTAGCAGTAGAATCTGCTGGAGCAACGGTGGTGTCAACTCCACTCCTGTTCTGCTTGCGGGTCACAGCAACCCACAGTAACATCACTGTCCACCTCCATGCCGAGAGGTTCGTCCACACTCTTAGCGGACAATTACTTTCGGATCCTGCTCTTTGTCGAAATCGACCCTAGAAGAGTTCAGGGCCACAATGCCACGCCGCGGCTTAGCCAATTCGCTTTGTCTGGATCCGTACGTATTCCGTATGTATGTCCAATGAAGAAACAACCAATGCCATGGCGGACAGGCAGTGCTTGTCACGTGCGTACACAACCATCCTGCGGCTTTCCGCTCCCCGCTGTCGTACACGTCCGCACAGACTTGAGCCGCGACCGGCTTCCCGCCATGTGCTTAGGAATCGGTGTCCCTTGTGGCCCTGCTTAGCAATACAATGTATTTTGAGCCATGCGGTCAGTGAATTTGTGCATGCGAAAAGGAGCTTAGCCTCTACACCCGGTGAGGTTCGAACTCACGCAGCTTTCGCTATGGGAAAACCCATTCTCAAAGCTTGAGACCCACCCGTTAGACCACTCCGGCACAGGTGAAATCCGAGATCTGCTCGGAAAGCCGAGGATGCCCGCGCCCGCACATCACCTGCAGATATCTGTCAACCTGCACACGTGCCGTTGTACAACCTTCATCCGAACGTATACGTCTGCTCCTGTGTCCGTGGCCGAAAGCTGAAACGGCGGGTGTGATGGGCCCGAGTGTGTGCCCGGATCTCTAGGACACATAGACAGCACTAGATCCCGCTTTGCGTCGGCCATGGCCCATCCCGTCCCACCGCTGCTACACTTCTACTGATGGGCTGCTTGGTGTTCTGAACACTCAACACACTGCTTCACCGCGCACCATCAGTCCTCTGGCTGTGTGGCACACGTCCCTCCTGCCAACATGCAAGCTCGGCTCACTACACCCTGCACCGCCTGCAAGTGCTCAACACTGCAACACCGGCGGCACAGTGTGTACGCAATGCATACATACTTGCGAGCTAACCAGGAACTAAGTTGATGCGCCGTTGATCCGCTAGATTTGGTTGGATGCTGGTGGTGAGTGGCCGAACCCAACGAATACATTCTGAAGTCGGATGGGGTGACGGATTAGGGTGCCCCTCTAGCAGGGGAGAGGGAAAGGGGGCCGCTGGCGAAGTTGACCACCCTGTAACAATATACATACATACATGCATACACGCACATATGCGCGACTGCCAAGCAGAAGAGGAACAACCTGAGGCGGCAGCTGCGGCCGCGGAACACTTCTAGTCCGACATGATGCACGCCTTAGGCCAAACAAGCCCCTCCCTAGCCACATTCACACATACAGACATGCAGACGAACTTGCATGTAAGCAGCACATCCATACTTACAGCCGACCCCAGCTGACCATGTCTGAACAATTCCTTACCATCTTCAGATCGAGCCCTGGTACATAAGCCGCCCCTTTCTATTATACGAGGTCACGATCTATAATAAACGAAAAATTTCCAGAGGCAGCAGCCCCCTACCCAGAGCCCATACCATAAGAAACGTATCCAACTTATCTTAACATCAGTAAACGTTCGCAAAGCAAACTGGATCCAGCCACGTCTCTTGGTTGCAAGGTCTTGGCCTGCATTTGATCCTAGTAATTGTCTAAACCCGCAGCACCGTCCACGGATGGGATAGATAGCTAGGGTAATGGGAAGGTGGGGATGCCAACGATTCTGAAGCACATTATCAAAACCGTCGTCACCAGGGGCAGGGCCGCCAGCATCGCCAACAGCTCACCAACATGTGGGCCGGTGTGGTATCCTGCTAGGGCGTATCACGGGATCTGCATCCGCCGATCGGTACTTTTCTAAAGTCGTGGTATAACAGCCGGCAACCTTGCTGCTGCTGCTGCTACCGCCTCCAACTAAGCACGCCTCCATGTTCTTCAGAGAGGGGAAATTTGCCGCAAGCTGCTGCTGGGATGCGTTGCAGCAGCAGCAGCAGCGTCACAACAAGCAAATAAACACCACATACATGACATCACAGCTTTAGCAACCAACAGAAACATACGTGCCCCGACAAGCAGAGCGCCTTGCTTTATGGGGCTTCAATCGGCCCAAAGACAGGTCCGCAGCCAAACGCAAGATAAATAATTCGTATCAAAGGCATCATCTCAATTATTCGTGACATCTGCCATTACCAAATGCAGGCCATCTATCATGAGCTGTACGGCAGCAACGCCACAACGGCACGTGTATGCACGGACGCATTTGCAGTAACGTCCTAATACGCCCCTTACACTCCATCGGTAGTTTTTTTAAGCAGCCCCTCGCACAAATGTGTCCGGTCGTACTTCGCGAATAGAGAATCCGTACATCTCGTCCCAAAAGTCAGGAGCGAATTTTGCCGCGCAGATGCGCGCGTGCGATTCGCAAAATGCGCCTGTACAAATGTATATAAAATTTCTTGGCGGATGAGGACCAGGTGCGCCAGCGCGTTGCGCAGGTGAGCATGTTGGCCATAGCCGCACGCTGGACTATTGCGTCGATGCATTGCAGTAAAGGCAACGTCGTAGCTTGCAACTCTGGGCTCGTGAAACTGCCGCGGAAGATGAAGCGCTGGCGGAAGATGAAGCGCTGGCGAAGAAGCAGTTGTGTGCAAGCCATAAGGCGCCTGCTTTCGGTAGCGCAGCGCATAACTCTCATTGTTCCGAATACTCAAGTTACACTCTACGAAATAAATAAACAAGCACAGAATTATGTAAAAATAAGAATCGCGAGAGACGTTCAGAACCTTGCAACCTGCCGCCTTCCGCCAGCCCGGCCTTCTACGCCATGACCCAACGACGCGCAGGCAGCGCCCACACGCCCACCGCCGTCACAGTCCAGGACGATGACGCCCCTGCCACGCTGGCCTAGCCCACACATCAGCTCAACTCCTAAATATTGACCGATAACGTCCCACCATTTCGGCGCTAGGCTTCTGGACATTGAGCGGTGCTGTTGAATTTAGGCACGGTCGCACTTTGGGTTTCATTCTCGGTGCATACATGTCCAACATTAACTTGTGTGTGAACGGCTTGGGATGGTCTATTGCGTTAGCGGTCCGACTGAAACGACAGCCCCGCTGCGCTCCTGTCTATGTCCGCTCCTAGCGTGCTCGGAAGCAAGTTGGTAGGGGACAAGTTGGTATTGTGCCACAGCACCCTTCATGTTGCCTGTTCTGGCATGGCCTTCCACGCGCGATAGGAAAATTGAACCTACGCCTTCTTCTTCGTTCCTACATCATAGCAAAGGACCGACGCGACGTGTCCTGTGCACGCGCTGTTGCTTTGGTGCTCTTCTTGTTCTTATGGTTGAGCTACCTGGTGTTGTTGCATACGCGCGCGCAACGACATGACTGCATGTACAATGCGACGTGCACTCGACGACCTGTAAACACCTAACACTAAACTGCTTCGAAGCTCTTCTCACATTCCAATATGCCACTGCACTGCTTTAATCTCCAGCCGGGCCACATTCTATTACGCGCAAAAGTAATCATACACCTTACATTCCAAAATCATACGGGCTTTGGAAACGCGGCCAGCTGCTTCACAAGGACCCCCCTCTTTAAGCAGCCCCTCGCACAAATGTGTCCGGTCGTACTGTGCCGAATAAACAGTTCGTACATCGTCCCAAAAAAGCCAGGAGCGAATTTTGCCGTGCGGATGCGCGCGTGCGATTCGCAAAATGCGCCTGTACAAGTGTATATAAATGTCTTGGAGGTGCGCCAGCGCATTGCGCAGGTGGTCTTGTTGGCCATAGTCGCACGCGGCATGCAGGCTGGACTATTGCGTGGCTGCTTTGCAGCAACTGAAAGCACCGAAAGCCTACGTCATAGCTTGCAACACTGGGCTCGTGAAACTGCCGCGGGAAGATGAAGCGTTCGGCGAAGAAGCAGTTGTGTGCAAGCCATAAGGCGCCTGCTTTCGGTAGCGCAGCGCATAATGCACATGGTTCCGACTAAACTCAACTTACACTCTTACGAAATAAATATAACAACGCAGAATTTTGTATGCAGCACCTTGTTCAGAGTAAAGTCAAATTACAAAGTTGCGCAAAGTATAACATACATAAACTTAATTAAACATAAGAACAGATAAGACGTTTAGAGCCTTGTCGGTGACATGGACGCCGCTGTTGGCTTGGAACAGCTATTTGCTGTGCATAGGGACGTGCCCGCGTTAGCCGTGTTGCAACAGCTCAGGATGGATTTCAGCCAGCAACAGCCTCAAGAGCTGCTGCACAACCACCGGGAATGTCTTCAGTTGAGCACGTGTAGTTTTGGTCGGCGGGGTCGAGCAACGTACGCAATGCGCACAGAAACCAAGGTGCAGTGTTCTGTAACATCGCCAACATATCCGGTACGCGGTGGCAGGCTTGCCGAACTCGAAATGAAGGCGGGGTCGCATCTCACCATTCAACTAAGCATGCATGTGCTCGGTTGAATGCTCGGTAGCGTGCGAGTTTACCCCTATCAGGATGTTTGTTTGCATATCCCTCCAAGCGAGAGGGCTTGGACCTATGCTGATGTTCGTTCCAAGAAGTGAACTGAGGACTGATGCCACTGCACTTTCCTCTCCAGCCTGGCCACATTCTCTTCCTCGCAAACGTACTTGGGCACCTTACAATCCAACACCATACGTGCTTTGGAAACGCGGGCAGCTGCTTCACAAGGACCCCCCTATTTTATTAATCTTCCAGAATTAAAAGACTAACCGCAACAGCAGCCCTCCACCTATCTACACACGTACCTGATTAAACAGCAAGAAATGCCATGTACGGCATCCATGATCTTAGGCCTAAAAGCACCTCTCTAACCGGATTTTCTCGTCCTCACGCGCTTAACTCGCTTAACTCGTCATCACGGTTCAATAATGCTGTTCCCCTTGCTGCTGCATGTCTCCAGCAGCAAGGGCGCAGCCGTGCCCGGCTTCCAAGTACCGACAGCTACGATGGAACAAAGGTATGGGCTGTGTGCTCACCATTCCAACTGACTACAACTGATTCCAACCAACTCCAACGCACTCGAGCCGGACCTGGTGGCACTGCATTGGCGAGCACCGGACCTGCGCAGCTACAGGCACCTTATGAAGAGGTACCAAATAGGTGACAAAGAGGGGAGCACCGCTAATTGTTGAATTTAATTTTATTGAAGGTTCCACGTGTAGTATCCTGTAGGGCATATTACGCGATCTGCATCCGCCGATCGGTACTTTTCTGAAGTCGTGAGATAACACCGCGGCGGTTCTTTCATCGGTACGTACCGCCCAGCCAGCCAGCCCCCTGTCAGGACGCCTTTTATCTGATCGGAGTCAAGGTTCAAATGCCTCTCACGCACCCCTCACACGTAGCTAACAGCATTACTGTGTATGCTCTAGACACAGCATATGTAAAACCCAATACAATGTGAAGGGGTGGATGCACCCCCCTGCAAGGACCGGCCGGTGATGGGCCCGGTTACTGGACATACATACGGATCCAGACACAGCGAATTGGCTAAGGCGCAGCGTGGCATTGTGGCCCTGAACTCTTCTAGGGTCGATTTCGACAAAGAGCAGGATCCGAAAGTAATTGTCCGCTAAGAGTGTGGACGAACCTCTCGGCATGGAGGTGGACAGTGATGTTACTGTGGGTTGCTGTGACCCGCAAGCAGAACAGGAGTGGAGTTGACACCACCGTTGCTCCAGCAGATTCTACTGCTAATGGGTGCTGGACCCCTAAAAGTCACAAACTTCATAAAAGTTAAATCCCCCTCCTGCTTCACACTACCACGTGCATAGACGCACACATGCAAGTATGCATATGCAATGGCCACAGGATATAATAACGGCCATAACCATGCAGGCTAACCAAATGGCGAAAGGTACAGCTTTACTTTGTTTCCATTTATGTGCAGGGCCAGGCGGCGGTGAGGTTGTAGCAGAACCTTCCCGCGTACCTCTGTATAACCCAGCCAATCCACTGGAACCCCCTTTACCTCAACCCTTTCGAGCCAACTTTCGAGCCGCCCATCCAACCATCCATCCCCCCATCCATCCATCCATTCACCCATCCGTCCATCCATCCATCCATTTCCTTCCTTCCCTTCCTTACAGGTAGAGCCCCAGCACCCTCGTGACCTGCTCCCCATCCAGCGGTCCGTCCACATCCCCCGCCCATTCGTACGTGTGCATGGCGCCCTTGCCCTTCACATCCGTCATGCCCAGGTCACGCCATGCCTCATTAGGCAACAGGGACTGGGTGGCGGAGCTGACGTGGATACGGCCCGGGGAGCAAGTGCTCTCCATGCGGCTGGCCACGTTCTGAACGTACGACGGACGGAGGAGGAGAAGAGAGCGGGGGTAAAAGGTTGGAGGGGGTTAATGGTAGGGGTAAGTGATGTTAGGGGTGATTTTGCACAGTGCCAAGCCGGCATCCACGTCACGCCTTGCCAAACCTCCCGTCGTCCCCTCCCTCTCCCCTCCTTCCTCCCCTTCCCCCCTCTCCCCCCTCCCCCACTCACCACCGTGTCCCCAAACAAACAGAACCTGGGCATGGTGTCCCCCACCACCCCGCTGGTCACCGGACCGCTGTGCAGACCCACACGCAACTGAACCGGAGCACCCGTGTCAGGCATCAGCACGGCTCGGGAGACACGGAGCATGGCCTGCAGCCACAGGGGAAGAAAGAGGAAAGGCGGGCGCGGGAGGTGGAAGGGGGACGAGGGGGGTGCTGCACCGACGGGGTTGGTGTGGACGGTAGGTTAGCTGACCTGGCTAGGCAGGTGTATTCGGTAGGTCCACTTGGGAAAAATGGTTGTAGGTAGCGGGCCCCGGCGGGCCCTGTGCCGCATCGTTGTGCCCGGACGTGCTCACCTTGGCAAACTCCAACGCCCGTACGGCATGCAGCGGATCTTCCGTACCGCTGATGACGGACTTGTACCCGTCCTCGTCGTACGCCACTAACCCGCCGGCCACCATGTAACAGTCTTCGTGGGAGGGGAGCGCGTGGGAAGCGGGAAAGGAGGGACGAAAGCGAGGTGACTGAGAGGTTGGCCGCTGGTGATGGTGATGAGGACGGCCGTTAGTGAACGATGTCGAGAAGTGAGCGGTTATGGGTGGCGGGGGCATGAGGATAGGTGTGAGTATCTACGGGCAGGAGGGGCAGGGGTCGCGATACAAAAGGGGGTCTAGGGATAGTACATAGTAAGGCGGCAGGGCCCGTAGTAACCATACCTTCCCCCATCGCCCCCCTAAACACCACGACCCTTTCTTTACAGCTAACGACAACATTGGCTCCAACCAGCTCACCTCCAATCGTTTCCACTTTATAAACCTTGTAGATGTCCACCAGGCCATCAAACCGGCTGTACAAGTCGTTAAGGAAGGTCATGACCGTAAAGGGCGTTGTGGAGCTGCAGGTGGTGGTGAAACCCTGCGTTGCGTACACCGTACATACCGTACATAAACCGGATGCCACGTTCGCAACCCACACAAGCGATGTGACGATGTCGATGCAAGAGCCGCAATAAATGAGTCGCCTCGATACAAGATACCATCACTGCTGTGTGTATATGTGCAAAAAATGTTGTTCGATGCATCCGAGCCATACTCGTCTTCAGCAATTTGCGTAGTAGGGCGTCAGGAAAGCAGAGAAAGAGTGGTGTAATATCCTAGTAGTACGGCAGTAGATAGGTTTCGGAGCCCTACGGCTCTGGTTCCGCCCAGCCTGGGAGGGTGGTAGCCGGCGAGGCGAGGTAGGTAGCTAAGCACACGGGGCGACAGATTGCATAACATCGCAGCCACACACGCGCCTGGCGAACATGGGTCCAGAGCGGCACACCCGCACACACATACATACAGACAAACACAGGTATACACGCATACACATACAAGCCGCTACGGCTGCGTCACATGCACGACAAGCCCTCGCAACACAAGCACCTCGCTGTTCAGAGACAACCCAACCCACTCTACTCCCAACCACAATCCGCACAAACCGACAAAACAACTCTAAAGCGTGCCACGAGCCTACGACTTGTGCGGTGCGGGTGAGGTATATTGTGTGCCGTACCACAATGTCGCAAAAGAGGATGGTCACGCAGGAATGCCAGGTAGCCAGGGAAGCAAGCCGCGCCGGGCCGCCATCCAGCGCCGCCGCCGCCACCGCTAGCTCCGTACTGTACACCGCCGCAGCTTCTTCGGCAGACCTGACGTCGGCTGCATTGCCGCCGCCGCCCATACCGCATATCGGGCTGTGACCTCTGGCGACGGCGGCGCACAACGGCGGCGCCGTCCCGCGGGCCCTCCGACTGTCGTACCGGCCGGCCCCCCTCAGTGTGAGGTACTCGATACAGTGGCGGGGAAAGATGCTCTCCAGCACCTGGGGGTTTAGGGGAAAGGCGGGGGCCGAACCCCCACAGTACAGCAGCAGTGATAGCCCAAACCTACGTGCCATAACCAGCCGGCCCGAAACCCCTTTTCTCCCCCCTCCTCCAGCTTGGGGACTCCTGCGCCTCCGTCGTCCTCCATCCGCCTCCTGCCCGCACCACGATAGGGAACCAACGTAGCTAGCAGCAGCATCCCGTATACCTTCCCCCCCAGGGGTAGGCGCCTTCTGGGGCCAACACCCCCTACTTCCTCACACTTCGGGACCACCTCGCCTCTCCCACTTTTCCCGAGTGGGGGTCTGTATCTACTAGGGACGAACAGTGGCAGTAGCAGCTGCCTCGTTGCTTGCAGGCGGCATTTGGCGCTTTGTGCACGCCGGGCCAGAGCTGGGACCCTTTCCGGGACTTTTGCACCATCAGCAGCGCCTGATGCCGTTGCAGGATGCCCGTCTTTTTTCTCTCCTCCCTTCTCCTCCCCTCCTCTTTCCCCCACACCCCCGCACCTGCGAAGGACAGCAGCAGGCCCCTGTCCTGCACCCCTACCCTGCCCGTACACCCGTACCTTGTGCTCCTCCTGAAGCAATTCCGCTGTTTGCACCTGCGCGGTCACCTCCGCCGTCACATCCACCTGGGTCACCAGCAACAACACAGGTCGCGGCTGTTGCTGCGGCTGCATTGGAGATTGAGGCCCAACAGCAGCTGCAGCAGCAGCAGCAGCAACATCGGAGCCGCAGTAGCAAGCCTCGGAGGCACCGGTGGCTGCCCCTGCTGAGCATTGCAGCAACATTGGAGCTGCAGCGGCAAGCCCGCCCACATTTCCGTACAGACCGCCGCGGCCGCTGACTTCGCCCCGCGGTGCTGTCGACGTGGTCTTGGCGGCTTCGGCGGCGGTGAAGGCCATAGCAGCTTCTTCATGGTCGGCCTGCGGCGTCATTCAGTCATCCTCAAGGTGTGCCGCCATCCCATTCACCTCATCGCAGTCAATACTTCACTCCTTCATTCCCTCATTCACGCAGAGACCAGGTTCCTTCACGGGCACGTGGCTTTCACGGAGCGCTGGGAGCGGTATCGGAGCTGCTGCCTTGGCAGCCGGTCCTTTGCCGCAATATCCTCAGGCAGTCTGGGTAAGTACATACATATATACTTACTTACATACATATCTTTGCCTGACTGATGCTGGTGGTCTACCTGCTGTGTGCCATCAGAAACTCGCAAACCCCTCTCTTCCGGCCATTGAGGCGGGACTCAACATTTGTCGTCGGCTGTCGTGTATTGTTGGAGTGCTGTTTTCGTTTAGTTGGACTGATCCAGGTGCAAGAAAGATAGGGGGAGTCACATACGCAACTATGTGCCGACTAAGACGCATTTCCCGCCATTTACCTGCAGAGCGTGAACATGCACCTTGTGCCACACAACGGCGTGTCGGGGGCCCGCCGCCGCCACGCCACCGCAGCCATCACCGCAGCCGCCGCCGCCAACGTCAATGCCGTCGGACGAGGGCTCTTCACCGTCGGCTTCATTCAGACCTGGATGGACGAGGCCCAAGTCGGGGCCGCTGGCAGCACAGCCGTCACCACCACCACTACCACCACCATCGTCACCAGGGCCGCCTAGGATGCTTGTCGATACCCAAAGGTCGCCGGCTCTCTTCGCCGCCGCTGTCACCGCGGGCCCACCAGCCGCTGGTGCTGGTGCTACTGCTGCCGCTGCAGCCGGCGTCGTCGTCCTTTCCGCTGCAGCCCCCTCCTCCTCCACTTCCTCCTCTGACGTCTTAGGGTTTTTGTTCGTGTCCATGCACCTGACGTGGACGTGCCGCGGGGCTGGGGCATCTAACGACCCGCATGAAGTTGGCCCAGCAAGCAATGCCGCCGCGATAGGGGCGGCGACGCCGCTACCCTTGCTTTCGGGACCGGATTCTATCTGTAAATGCACGAGCCCTGGCCTGCAAGGTGGCTTCACACAGCGGCATCCGAGGGCCGGTGCCTGGCCCGCGACCACGTCGTCGCCATAGTCGCCGCCGCCGCAGCAGCAATAGCCGTCCACTGCCGCCGCGCCGACAGGCGTTGTTTCCGCCATCGCGGCACAGCCCGACACTGGCGCGCTGTCTGTTATGTCGCTGCCAACAGCTCCGAACATGTGGTAGTAATGCACCTGCTGCTGCTGCTGCTGATGATGATGATGCACCTGCTGCTGCTGCTGATGATGATGATGATGCTGGTGCACCTGTTGTTGTTGCTGCTGCTGATGCTGCTGTTGATGATGCACCTGCTGCTGCTGCTGCTGCTGTTGATGATGCACCTGTTGTTGCTGCTGTTGATGATGCTGATGCTGATCGTGGTGCAATTGCGTCCGTGGCGGCTGCTGGAGGGATTGCGAAGGGGCTCCCGGCGGCAGTGGCGGCAGCGCCACTGGTGCCGTGTGTTGATGGAGCTGCACAGGACATCTTGGCTGGTAATGACCATTGCGGGTGTGGGAGCCATGCTGGTGCTGGTGTTGGTGCTGATGCTGATGTTGGTTTAAAAATTCAAACTCTTCAGATCTGAGCGACGAAAAATCGGTAAGCAGCTGTTGTACGCGAGTCTGCGTGTCTGTTTGCGGGGCCGGCCGGCGGCGGCGGCTCACTGCCGCTGTGGCGGTGCCGCCAGGCCCCGGCAGCGCGGGCGGCAATCCACAGCTTCTATGCGGGAACCACGCACCCATGACATCGCTGCCAACAGCACCGTCACCGCCGCCGCCGATGCAGCCCAATTTTCCGTTGTACGATAATACCGTACCGGCCACCGGCCAGTGCCTGTAAGGTTGCCCTGCTAAGCCCAACATGTCAAGCTGTCCAGCCACATGGTCGATACTGCCGCGGCGGCAACAATCAGCACGGCCTTCACCGCTGCCGCCGTCGCCGCCACTACCGGCGACGCCGTGGAGGCGGCAAACCTGCCGCTGTGGATTCACCATTCCAGGTCCTGAAGTTGTCCGCCAGCAGCGCCGCAGCGCAGCCGGAGGGCCCGCGGCGCCGTCGGCTGGGAATTCCAAGGATTGCCAGGACCGCGGCGCTGGCGGCAGATGCTCCGGCAGATACGACGGCGGCGGCGTCGCCAGCGAGCAGGGTCCCCGGGGTGGGAGGAAACCTTGAAGCTCGCTGTCCAGTAGTAGCAATGGATCGGTTGAAGGCCCCAATGGTGCGACGTCACGCACAGTGTCGTGCGGTACGGCAGTATGGCCGGTGGCAATGGTGGTCGGGGGGCCAGGCTTTGGAGGACCCGGGAAGTCGGCCGCGTTGGCGATGAGGGCGGCGAGGGTGATGTTTACGGACGCAGTGGTGTTGGAAGCCGAAGTGGAGATAGCTGCGCACGGAGCTGCCTGCCCGTATGTCTGTCTGTGCCTAAGTCCTTGCACGTCCCCCGGGTGGCCGCTAAGCTCCTGGCGGGACGTACCGTCATAGGCCGCAGTTGCGCCGAAGTCATCATGGTACGTGTCACTGCTGCTGTCCATGGCGGTGACGTCGGCACCCGCGGGATCCGTCGTCACACGCGCTGTAGCTCCACTCGTAGCTCCACCGCCGCCGCCGCCCCCATCAAAGTCCATCGAAGACCCCGCCAGTTGAGCCCCAGAGCCGGGGCTTGAAACAGCCTGGATCTCGACGCCATCTTCGATCGTGCCCAGGTAGTACGACGGCCGCACCGGAGCTCGGCGCACATGACCGCTGCCTCCACCGTACACGCGAGCCATGTACGGCACGGCGGATGTCGCGGACCCGTATCCGACCAGGGGCAGCACTTCAGGGCAACAATATTTTCCTTCGCCAACAATGGCAGGCGTTCCGTGGTGGGCACCCGGGGCTCCTTCAATGGCGGCGCCACCGCGACTGCAGCCGCATCCGCTCTCCCTCTCCCCGTCAGGGCACGGCGCTGGTGGTGCTGGGTGTTTGAATGTCCCTGCAGCCGCCGCGGGCGCCTCCCCAGGCACCGGCCCCACTGGGGGGCTACTTCGAATGGCTGTCGTCGTGGTCGGAAGGGAGCTGGAAATGCGGCGCGGCGCCTTGCGCTTTCTGAGCACAGCCATGGCAGCAGCTGCATCCCTTAAGCGCTGAAGCGTGCTCGCCGTGTGGGGCAAGTGTTGTGGCGACGGCGGGTGCGCGCTAGTGCCGGTGGGAGCGCCCGCGGCGGCTGTCGCGGTGACGGGCGAGGTGGCCATTGGCGGCAGCATTGCTGCGTACGTCGGCAGGGCATGCAGCAGGGGTAGCGGCGCCAACGCTTCTAGTGAGCCCACCGCCGCCGCCGCCACGGGGCGGGCTGGCGGGAGAGAGAAAAGTAACGGCGCCGAGATACCTATCTGACAGCCAGATGTCCCTGCCGTGCGTGTCGTCGTACCAAGTGAAGGAGTCTGGAGCAACGGTGGCGGCAGCTGCCGCTGTCGCGGTTGCAACTTGGTTGGTATGGGTGAACCCAGGTCGCCTACGAGGGCATCCTCGACGTCTCCGTCGGCGTCGCCTCCGACAAAGATTCCAACATTGGCGGCGCCGGACACCGACGCCGCCAGCCCGCCGCCGCCGCCACCACCACCGCCGTCGTCGTCGCCGCCGCCATCGTCGTCGTCGTCGTCGGCACGCTGGGTGAGCTCTGCCGAGAACAAAGCGGGAGGGCGGCGCATGCGTGTGTGGACAAGCACACGCATGCGAAATCACGCAAGCCTGCGCGAGGCCACAGCATGGCAAAGCGAGGCAAACAAAACAACAGAGAGCACGGCACCTGACTTACGAACGCATATCAACGACTCCTCGCCTCCAACACCGCCGCCCGCGCAGCCAGCGTGCACACCACTTGTGAACTCTTCTCCACCTCCGCCTCCTCCGTAT